TTCTCGCTTCTAAACAAGCCGGAGCTTTGGCAAGTGATGATTTGTCACCTAACAGCCTTTGCTACTTAGGCGATTACATTTGTCATGCACTTATCTGTCAGCCTGCTTTTCCAGCCATTTTCACTTCCTCTCTGCCGCGGATTCTCTGCAACGCGAAACCTTTCCGCGGATTTGACGTCTAATTTCGTATGATTGGTTAATTTGATTAGACGGCTTGATTTTGATAATCAATATTTAGAATGGAGATTAATATATTCTTTTCCTGTAAAGAAAGCAAAATGGATTGAAATATTGGAGATTATACTGACCGTGCTCTGTTCATTCATGCCTCACTGGTAACTTGTTATCAGTTTTGAATCCACTGACAGTTTTCATTGCAAACTCTAATTTCAGAAAAGGATAGTTTATGGTAATTATAACAACGAGTATAAAGCGTTTTGCATTGAGAATCGGGCTGCTTTGTGAATAGTTTTCCATGTTTTCTCCATTTCGACACGCAGAAGTTACTCCTAAAACACCTCGGGGAAAGGATTATTTAAAACGATAAGTTTTAAGGATTTTGTAAATAAACGTACTTAAATTTTTGTGACAAATTAGATTTTTATCATTTTTAAGGTATTTCCTGATATAAAATTCTGCTATTTATTTTTTTATCTTTCAAAGGAAGAAAATTAAGTGAAACTTCTTAGATTTTTTTTTATTACAGAAAAATTTTCGAAATTATAATTCTATAAATTCAATTATATGCAATATATGCAATTTATAATTCTATAAATTGCAATAATAAACTATATTTGTAAGTTTTATTATTTGATTAGTTATAATTTTAATTTAACTGAAAAGGGAATGGTTCAAACTATAGCAATTAATCATACACAACTAGTGGCTCATTGGTAAACGGGGTAGATAAAGGAATTTATTGGTTGATTGGGGTTTTATGGCACAAGAGCCAGATTTGGCTATGCTGTGCCAAACTATGTGGTAAAAGGCAATTAGCAATAAAACCAGTTAATTTCGCGATTCCATGAAAACATTATAAACCATGATAAGTATACGTAAAAAATAAGAAAAGATAGGTATTATATTTAAAAAAAAATGTAGGGTTTAAAAAAGAATTATGAAGACGAAATACATGATTAAAAATTTATACATAAAAAAACCTTAAATAACTCGTTCAAAGTTAATAGAAAAGCGACGTAATGTGCATGGCACGTGGTTAAAATATCAATTGCAATGAAATTTTAAAAACAAATCAGTCAGAAATCGTCAAAGTCTCTTTGTATCTCAGCACTAGTTTCTTGGCCCTCAGGCCACCCATATTTAAATATAAAGAAATATGAACCTGCCAGTCGATATCATTTCTTAATGTATAGAGACTGTGACCCCAGTAATTCAGTAGACCCTATTTACTATGACTCCAGTAATAAAATTCTCTTATTGGAATGCCTGATCAGGTTTAAAGTGGGGCCTGAATGGCCGAGTGTCTGGCGCTCGGTGCCATTGGTTTCGGGTTCGAATCCCGGAGATGCCATGGATGTAGGGGTACGGAATCTATTTTAAGCCATAGGTCCCAATCTCATTTGACTGTAGAGCGTCACGTAGCCAAGTCAAACTTCTACCAACGGATGCTCCATCACAACAGAAGTTGCCCTCTTTCCCTTCAACCATGAGTCCGTATGGGCTCGTGGGCTTGGGTTTGGACTAGATTCCTACCAAGTGATATAAGAAACAACAACAACAGGTGTAAATAAAAACATTTTTCTGCATTCAATCTTTTAAAATTATTCTTACTGGAATGGTTGAAAGTTCTTGTGCCGAAAAATGCTTTCGCTTTAATCTTACAAGATGTGTGCTATTTCTTCCGATAGAATTTATACTGGTTAAGATGATACATATAACTGTAAAGCATTTTAAATTGCAGGTTATTATGTAATGGATTTCTTTCAAGAATAGGGTATATTTCCCATAACTTAGCCAGTGCCTAAAGCTTTCTTTTCCCATTTCCGGTTGATAGAATTTAAATGGATATTAGGGTACTACGAGGTAATGTATTAGTTTAACAATACGTTTCCACTAAAAATTGTGGAGTGTAAAGAATATTAAAAATCTAATTCGAATGCTATATGAATAATGGATACTTTTTCTGAATTGATTTCAGTTACAGCTAATACTCCTCTGTGAAGTTTGGTCTCGTTATTGCAATTCACGAAAGAAATATTTGAGATAAAAGTTTAAAGGTTTAAAAGCGTTTTTAAGGGGTCGGGCGGGGGAGGGACTAACACTCTCGCGCTCGGTACCGATGACCGTCGATAAACAAACCTAATCAAATCTCTTAGATTTGGAATGAGCAACCCAGGGACTGTGTCTATATGATCGTCACATTCTTTTTAGAACTTCAGACTTATTAAAAGGACTTTCTGGCTTACAGTTTTAACGTTGAGCTAAAATGAATTAGCTTTAATTCATTTCTCTTGTAAGCTTTTTATTTATTCGGTTATATTGTATTTCGGTATATGACAATATAACCGAACATATAGTGGGCTATATTGTTATTATCATCGTCATCAGTGGCGCAGCAGCCCCATGGTGGGTCAAGCCCGTCTGCCTACTGGAAGATTTTGAAACAGGAGATGCTATCTTTTGACTGGGTAAGGTTGTCAGCCCTACGCTCAACAGTCATTTTAGACCGGAAACTACGGTTTAAAGTAGATTTCGAAGCGCTACAAGCATCCATTGCACCGCCAGGATTCGAACCCGAAACCTGTGGTACTGAGCACCAGAGCGCTAGTGACTCGGCCATCAGGCCCTATATTATTATATTGCTATAATAACTTTTTATTTAGTCGGTTATATTACTATTTATTGGTTATATTGTGAAACCTCTTCGTTGGATTAATATTAATAGTTGTTGCTTCTTAGATTTGTAGTGAGTAACCTAGGAATGGTAGCTACGTGATCAGCACCTTTTTTCAACTTTCCGGCCAACAGATTTAACGTGCCTATAATTGTTGTTGACAAGAGAAATCTGAATTCAATTCACTTATCGAGTCTCAAATGGAATACTTTCAGTACATAAACCATTGTGGGGCTTTTGATGGCCAAGTGGCTAGCACTCTGGCGCTCGGTACCACAGGTTTCGGGTTCGAATCCCGCCGGTGCCATGAATGTTTAGTGGTTCGGAATCCACTTTAAACTGTAGTTCTCGGTCAAATATGACTCTAAAGAGCGTCACGGAGCCCAGCCATAATTCTCCCACCCACATCATTCCCAAACTGTTAATGGACAACTCGGCTCTAGGCTTAGTGGTGTGGTGTAGTAGTAGTACATAAACTATTACTCTAACCACCTACGGCTCCGCTAATCAGTCTCCTCAACCACCAACCATGTTCCTTTAACCTTTATTTGAAATGAAAATTAATTTCAAAAACCCGATGGATTTTTTTCTCACTTTCAAAAGGAATCGAGTGAGAAGGAAAATTTGGGGCGATTCAAAATACTCGTATTTCATCGAAATCGATTTTCGGAGATTAACGTGAACGAATCTTTCTATTGGGGTTAGAGTTATTAAAATAAGTTTTAAATATTGATTTCAGACCTCGAACTCCTCTTGATGCTTCAGAACTAAAAGTAAAGATTATCTGGATTCATTAAAAATTCAAAGGAGTGTTACTGGACACTTTAAAATCCCTTCATTGACTTATGCCTTCAGTTTGAATTCCAGTTCGAGATTTAGAGCTTTTTTACATAGTTTGAATTACCGAGTATACTTTTACATTCCTTATAATTAAAATGGAGGACATATAAAGTTTAGTTCCAAGCATTTTCCTCCCTTTTAAAAATTATATTTTTAAAAAAAATTTATATAACAGATATTTTTCAAATCTATATAGTTTTTGCATAAGTAGATTAAATGTTGTTGGTTTACGATTCCAAGCATTTAGGCCATAAATCATTCTCCACAAAAATGACAGATATATAGCAGATTCAACTTTACTCAGGTCTTTACTGATTTTTCAAATTCATATAGTTTTTCCATGAGGGGATAAAATGTTTTTTTAAATTATAGAAATTATATAATACTATAATAATTATAGTATTACATAATTAATTATCAATTTATACTGATAACTGTAGTGTTATACAACTAATTATCAATTTATACCGATAACTGTAGTGTTATACAATTAATTATCAATTTATACTGTTAACTGTAGTGTTATACAATTAATTATCAATTTATACTGTTAACTGTAGTGTTATACAATTAATTATCAATTTATACTGTTAACTATAGTGTTATACAATTATTAATTTATATTGTAAATTATTCTCGACAAAAATGACAGATATAAAGCAGATTCAACTTTACCCAGGGTAAAAATTATGTACCACACACTATAATAGAAATATTGATTTTTCCAGGAGTGGATTAAACGTTATTGTTTTACAATGAAAAGAATTCTTTCTTTTCTAATAATAATCATTCGTTTTATTTGTATTTTAAAATTTATATTGTGACTTTTATCCATATATATATATATATATATATATATATATATGTATATGACCAGAAGATTTGTAATTTGTAGTAACAACCTTTTCAGAAGGACTTTAAAAAAACCAACCCTTGACCTACCTTGGTCTTCACTATAGTTCACTTTGAAAAGCGAGAAGAAAAAATCGAAGGGTAAATTACTCAGCTAGTTTGTTTGCAACGAAGATCGAACTTCCCACAAAATCAATCGGTTTGTAACTCCACATAGTCTTTAATCAATCGAATCGATTCAATCTCAGATGAACGCATTTTGATTGAACCAATCGGATTCACTCATTCTTATATAAAAACATTTCAAAAACTTGATTCTTGCGGTATGTTTATATAAAAAGAGCTACTGATGGTATGTTTATTGGTTTTTTGTTTCCTTAAGGTTAACGGGAACCTATAGTATCATCAATAATCCGTTGCCTTTTGGCAAAAGAGTTTTTGAATTTTATATAACATGCGGCCATACCATGCTGAATATACCGGTTCTCGTTAGATCACCGAAGTCAAGCATCATTGGGCGCGGTCAGTACTTGGGTGGGTGACCACCTGGGAACACCGCGTGCCGTTGGCATTCACAAATTGGGACCTGAATGGCCGAGTGTCTGGCGCTCTGGCGCTCGGTACCACAGGTTTCGAGTTCGAATCCCGGCGGTGCCATGGATGTTTGTAGTGGTTCGGAATCCACTTTAAGCCGTAGATCCCGGTCTCCTATGACTGTAAGAGCGTCACGGAGCCAAAGTCAGACTTGTACCTACGGGTGCTCCATCACAACAGAAGCTGCTTCCTTCCCCTTCAATCATGAGTATGTATGGGTTCGTGGGCTTGGCCAGCCAAGTGGGATAAGAAAAAACAACAACATATAACATGACTATGGACCAGTTCGCGTTAAGAAGGAACTCACGTTTGAATCCGCTAGTGGCACAAGTTTCGAGTCAATGGTTTCAGAAATGAGGAGTCTCGACGGCGGTTGTGGCACCTTGTGTAGTTAGAACACTGATTGCATAGAAAGGTAAACATCCATAGAGTAGTAACATAATAGAGTGTGCATTGGGGTTGCCAGTTTGGAGCAAACATAATCCTCACGTGATCATGCTCTTCCCGTGACTTTTATAATCGGTGCTGTCCAGTAACGTGATGGTTGGTCATTTGCATGGTCACTCTACCATTAATTCAAATGGGACTGGTCACCTCTGCTTGAGTTACAGATTTGGCTTGTCACTCTACGATCATTTTTTTTTTGTACCCTTTAGTCTAATTAAGCGGAATCTACAATTTAACGTGGAAAAGGAGCCACTAATAAAAATCCATGTCATCGCCAGGATTCGAATCTGAAACCTGATACCACAGGCCAGAGCGCTAGCCAATTGGTCATTTGACCGTTGGAGTTACAGATTGCAATGATTAGTTGCAATGTGGGTATACTGAACCTCATTTAGAATAAGGTTTAGGCATGTTTTTCAGGGTTTTGTTGTTCAGCATATGCGATGATTAGCAATATGCTGATATATATATATATATATACATACAATTGCTATATTCAGCATATGCGTTAATAACTTGGCGAGTTTTGGCAACATTTATTGTTGGTTTTTACTACTCTTTGCTGTTGGCGCGAAAGGAGAAAAAAGTTTACTATCTTACCACGATTTTCAAAAGAAATGGTTCATTTTAAATGTAAATAAATGTAAATCTAATTTTTCTATTAATAAATTTTTCCTCCAAATATTAATATTATCCTAATGTGTAACATTACCCCTCAAAATGTTAAAAAAATAAAATATTCATTTATAGAAACTTTTTGTCATGTTTTATTATATTTCGTACAAAAAGGGTCAGAGTTATAAGCAAAATGATATTTTTTTGTATCTATTCATCTTTAGTAAGCCCGTAGTTAAATAAATGCATCACTTAAGAAGAAGAATTTCAGGCATTTCTCGGAATTTCAAGAATGGCTTCATAACATGTTTACGTATTCTAAATTTAGTTTGCGCCAAGAAAATGAGTCAAGAGGCGATACAGCGCCAACTCTAGTAGAAAAAGGATTGGGGATGTTTGCCTCAACTTTCTGTTCCTTTAGAATAGTGGAACATTTTCATTTTATTACTATTCTATGTTCCACACAATCTGTAACAGAGGTATATATTCCTCTGAGTCATTTTCTCTCGATTTCCCTTTTCTAGAACAAATAATTTTTGTTTCATCAACAAATTAAACAAAACTATGTCTTAAGAATGGCCGAGTGAATAGTGCGCGGTGCCACATGTTCGGATGCGAGCCCCGACTGTGCTATGAATGTTTGTAGTGCTTCAGAAACCCCTTTAAACTGTAGGTCCCTGTCTAATACGACTGTAGAGAGTTGAGCGTAGGACTGACAATCCTATCCAGTAAAAAGAAACCATCTCATGTTGCGGAATCTAGTAGATGGCTTTGACCCATCTGGGACTGTTACGCAAAAATACCATAGGCCACTATTTGTTGAGCTTTTTAATTGTTCACAGTAATTTATTGACCCTAGACAGGTCTAAAAGACATATACAGCAATTTTAATTATGATCTGTTGAGATTTTAATAAAATAATCTCTGACTAGGATAATGCCTTTACATTACTTGCCTTAAAGTTGCATTTAAAATGGCTATTGTTAAAAACAACCATAACATAAACTTTCATATGGAGTTCTTCAAGTTTCCATTATATTCAACTGAAACATAACATTGTCAACTTTTTTATGTATATAAAAAATATATACGTATGCTGTTGCCATTACAAGAATATAAACCATTTAAAAAGGACAATAGCAACATACTAAAAAATAAATGAATAATATGCAACGTACTAAAAAAAATGGCGCTTTGGCGCTTGGTGCCACAGGTTTCGAGTTCGTGTCCCGATGGTGCCACGGATGTTTGTAGTAGTTCGGAATCCACTTTAAATTGTAGTTCCCTGTCTAAAATGACTGTTGAGCGTTGGGCTGACAACTCTAACCGCAAAAAAAAAAAAAAAAAAAAAAAATCTCCTGTCTCGAAATCTGCCAGTGGGCAGACGGTCTTGGTCCCCCCTCCATGAGCTGTTGCGCCTTTGAAGAAGAAGTATAAGGATAACAATTATCCGCAAAAATATGAGATTATATAAATAAAATAATATATTACGAGATTTTCTGCTCCTTGGCCCACCGTGGGGCTGTTGCGCCATGATGATGATGATGATCCCGATCAGATAAACGATAGTCGCAGGATTATTTATATTACATTATAGATAGTCGCAGGATTATCGAATGGAAACGATAGATAGTCACAGTAAATATTTTGTATCGTAACATATCGTAGATAAACGAGACTATTACAAGATACTTTACAAAATCATCTTAACAAAAGTGTACACAATTCACAATACAAGTGGATTAACTCACAGGGAATAATTCTAATTCTCCGTTAGCGCTATGCAAGTGGTATGATTAATCAAACCGAACGCAATTAATTACAACTTATCAAACTCTCCATAATTCAGTCAGAATTGAATGGTTATTAATCTCTCAACGTAATTCACAAATAAATCACTTCCAAGACTTGCAAAGATAGCAGAGCCCGTTGACTATCAACCATTCCAGCAGTAAACACGCTTCCAATCCTAATCCTTTCACAAGATAACTATATCCTTACGCTTGATGCAATAAAATTCACGAAATATCAATTAACTATCACTGGTAATTGGAGGCACGGAAATGAAATGAATTCAAATTTGTCAGCAATTATTTCAAGGAAATTAAAAGAATATGAATAATCTTTACATAAAACTTCCGTAAATTTCCGTATATAAGCATTCTTAGAACTTTTTCTGCAACTAAGTTACTGGGGTAGGCTTATATAAGGAAATCTCACAAAAAACCTACATACTTTTCCGTTTCTTTCAATTTCTTCAAGGTATGCTTCATATTTACTGTTTTTAGGGTATAATCAGCCAAATGTTTGAACTCATTCACTGGAATATCTATCTCAACAGAAAAAAGTTAGCTGTGGTATTTTATGTTAACCAAACAGCACATTTAACGTTTACATGGAACATTCAAAAAGCAAGAAATTGAGAATCAAAAATTTTTATCTGATGGAGTCACAGTTGTTTCACGGAACAATTGCTGGTGAATACAGCAGGTATGGTAACACATTCTAGCCAGTTGAATGTACAGTTTCTTGACTCATATTCATGCATGAGACCTGGCATTGTAAATCTGGGGAACAGCCTTATCATGCATTTCGCTTTCTCTCTCAGTGTTCACAAATTGATTGGACTCAAACTTGTGTTTGTATGGTCCTTTTTGTGCAGCATAGAAAAAATTCCATAATGCATATTATTAATAGAAATTAACTAAAAAATTTAAAAAGAAATCAACAGATGGCTATCAAAATAACATGCAAATTAAAAAGAATCCAACAGATGGTCGTCAAAATAACATGCAAAATAAAAAGAATCCAACAGATGGCCGTCAAAATAACATGCAAAATAAAAAGAATCCAACAGATGACTGTCAAAATAACATGCAAATTAAAAAGAATCCACCAGATGACCCATCCGATATTATAACATCACATTACTTCGAATGTTATTAGCATCTTGTAGTGACGAAAGTGATTTTGAATCAGTTCTCCACAAGAAAAACCGCGTACTTGACTACGATGAATAGTTTTAAATGCACATTTTGCAATCAATAGAAGCAAATAAAGCCTTTAAAAATATACCAGTGTGTAAATTCAATTTTCCTTGCTTAGAAAACCAATATCTAGATACATCGTGAGGTATTGATTTACGTATTTTCTGTGTGGAACTTTTTGTATGCTGTCTCTATTTATTGTATGAAAAGAACTTTTTAAATGCGTTTGAAGCAATATATTTCATAGCTGCTGATGAAGTTTCAGAGTATGTTTTAAGCGACTTTTTTATGCGGTCTCTATACCCATCACAAAAACAGGTTTGAGTGTACTTTGTTATCAATAACATTCAGCATTGTTGTTCTGAAGCAGTTGCAGTACCTCATAGTACACAGCATCTTTCTGATCTTATACCACAGCATAACTTGTATTCTATAAATATTCTGTTTTGTACTTAATGAATCTGATTCTTCTGAATGCGGTCAAGACTTTGGTAGTTTAGAATTATTTTATTGAATATATTCTTCGTATCTAGTCACAATTCGATGCAAAATGGTTTTTTTCGTATGTAAATGTTAGTGCAAAATGTTTTTCGAGTGCAAAATGCAAAATGTCTTTCTCTAAGGGGCAATTTCAATTTGCTTAAACATTTTCGAATGCCTCTTTCTCTTAATTTATCTGGGATTCATTTTTGTTGCTTTTGAACTTTGATTTTAAGTGTTGGAAAATGTGATGTTTGAGAAACAGGAAATTCTATTACTGTTTGTCATGGATATGAATCTATTAATGCTGCCAAATATTGCATCTTCAAATTCTTTGATGCTTTTTCATGTTCTTGTTTTCCACGCCGAAATTATTACTTTTACTTGTCAGAAGTATTGTCAATAAACTCTTTCAGTTGGAACCTTTTAACGTAAATATTTCAT